TATAATGATAAATAGGTACTTTAAAAAAAACTCTACTGATGGAAACAAATTTGGGTATAAATTTCAGCATGATGCATATTAGAACTGTTTAGTAGAACTGCTCTAGAATCTTCGGCAGTCATAACTATGCTAGTTTTTCAACTTGGCAAAGCTCTATTTCTACAAAGAGCAAACGGATTTCATTCCACAAATGCTAAGATTTATAAGGATATTGGGTATTTATGGACACTCACCTAAAAATATCCAAAGCCTGTTTCTACTCTATATCAGAGGAATAAACAAATCTAAATAGCAAGACTTTCTCGTTTTCGTTAAAATAGTTCCAAAATTGTGGAAGCAAATAAACCAAGTTATTTACAGCAGCTGTGTAACGATAGAGAGATTAAGGTAGGAGTCATCTTGTTTTCTGAAATTTCTGTAATATGTATAAGTGACTTTTATAATGAAAAATATTTTAAATTATCATTAAAGCTAAATTAATATGAGAAAAATTCCATTTCATCATCATGCTAGGGCTGTGAATAAAAAATAAATCCTTTCTCTTTTCATTTCTAAAAGAAGGTTTACAATGTTTTTTGGGGAGTCACATGACAATTATCTGAAATTAAAATAGGGCCTGAAATCTTCACCCAAATGCAAACAGTAGAGGTTGGCAGCTAATCCATGGATTGAGGGGAAAGAAAATTCTAGGCCTATTTTCAGAACTGTTTTAAAATATCAAAATGTCAGGTTGTGCTGGGATTCAGGATCCAGGTTAAAGGGGTTTTCACAGGCAGAACGTGAGGAATAACCGTAAGATGTGTCGGAGGGTATCGTGTGTATAAGCGCTATGGTTCAGAGGTCTGTGTTATCAGAAGCTCAGAATTGATGTGTAATCCTCCCCAGCTCAGCGCTGATCAAGCAAGGCCTGCCGAGCTGGTGAGAAACAAATGTCCACCCAGCTTCTCTGTTAGCCCCAGGCTGGGAAGTTGCCCGAACTCCCGGGGCCGGAGGCCGCGGAGATTTCATCCCCTTGCTGTAGCACAAAGTGCCCTGTTTTGTTTGTTTTTTTTTTTTGCGGTACGCGGGCCTCTCACTGCTGTGGCCTCTCCCATTGCGGAGCACAGGCTCCGGACGCGCAGGCTCAGCGGCCATGGCTCACGGGCCCAGCCGCTCCGCGGCATGTGGGATCTTCCCGGACCGGGGCACGAACACGTGTCCCCTGCATCGGCAGGCGGACTCTCAACCACTGCGCCACCAGGGAAGCCCAAAGTGCCCTGTTTTATCACAGGCACCTGTGCCCACATCCTCAGTCCCCTGCCTGCCGCCTTTGCTCAGTCTCCTTCCTTCACGCTCGGGTTACTGCAGTGGTCTCCTTGCGGCTGTGATGGGTGCAATCCATCCTCCATAATAGAGCCTGAGCGATGGTTCTAAAATGCCAATCTGATAGTGCACTGTCTGCTTTAAGTCTCTCAGTGATTCCCCATCACATCCTGGCCTCCTTCACACAGACCCTCCCACCTTGAGTTAGCTTGTTTTCAGCCTCCCTCCCCTCTTTCTTCTAGCTAACTCCAGCAAGGCTTTCAAAGCCTGGGTCCAGCTCACTCCTCTCTCTGAAAGCCTTCAAAGGCTTCCCATTCTGATTTCAAAGCCTTTCTCTGCTCCCAGATCATCCCCTGCAGGCCCCTACTTGGCCTGAGTTGCCGTATTGCCATCGTAATTCATGTCCCCAGTCAACAGGCCACCAGGGGCAAGGGCTCTGCTGTCCTCAACCTTACTTTTCCAGGGCCTAAACCGTTATGTGGCATGTGGCACAGTTCTAAGGAGTTCATAAATATTAACTCATACAATCCTCATAATAGTACATGGTTATTAGAAGAATGTATAAACATTTGTCCAACAAATGTATATCATCTAGCAGGTGCCAGATACAATTTCAGGCACTGGGGATTCAGCAATGAACAAGACACACAAACTTCTGATCTCAATAAGTTTATAGTTTATTGAGGCAAATGGATGATAAACAGATAAACAGGTATCTAATACAATGTGAGGCGGTGAGAGGAGCTATAAAGAAAAATAAAGCCAGACAAAGGGATGAAATGTGACAGAGGTCATTTTAGATAGGATGGTCAGGCAAGGAGACCTGAGGAGGGGACATCTGAGCAGAGGCCTGAGTAAAGTGAATGGGCCACGTGGATACGTGACGGGGTGGTGGTGGGAGTGGGCAGAGGAAACAGTGAGTTCAAAGGCCCAGGCTCAGTCTGTATAGTGCGTCGTGAGGAGGCCAGTGTGCTGGTAGGTGGGGTGGGGGGAGGAAAGTGGTAGGACATACACAAGGCAGGGGTGGGGTGGGTAGGTCAGGTAGAGCTCTTCAGGCCATCCTGAGGCCTTTGGAGTTTATTCATTGGTAGGTGTCAAGCCTGGTGGGACATGATCTGACTTGTCTTTTAAAAGATCACTCCGGCTGTGAGTGGAGAATACACACTATGGTGACCAAGAGTGGAAGCAGGTAGAGCGGTGAGAAGACGGATGCTGTGGTCCAGGTAGTGATGATGGTGACTCGGGCTCCCCACCACGGCAGCGAAGCAGTCAAACTCTGGATGTACTGTGAAAGCAGGGCAGACAGGACCTGCTGATGCTTGGTTGTAGGGTGTATAAGAGAGAGGGGAGTCCTGAATGGTTCCAAGGTTTTGGGCCAATTGGTGGGTTGGTGGTACCATTTGTTGAGATGGGGATAATTGAGGGAGCAATGGTTTGGGAGATGGGTTGGAAATGAAGCGTTCTGTTTTAGACCTGTAAGCTTGAGTTGCTGCCAGGATTCAGTTTTACCTTCTGTGAAATGGGGATCATGTTTATTTTATGCATTTCTTATGTGAATTAAATGTGATCGTTTTCTTTTCATATTATGTAGATGGAAGGTTTATTTTTATTCACACTGCAGTTAGGGATAGAGTTCCCTTTAAAAGAACAGAAACAACTCCCTCCTAGTGTCTAGATGTTGCTGCCCTTGTACAATTGTCTCTTCCATCAAGGAATGATGTTGATAACAGACCCAGTCTCCATAATTATTTGACATTTATGTAGAGCTGACTATGTGCCCGACACCATCCTAAGGACTTTATAAAACTAACTCATATACTCCTCCCAAATCCTTGGCAATATATACCACTATTCCTCCAATTTTACAGATGAAACTGGCCCAGAGGTGAAGTAATTTGCTTAAGAGCCTACAGCTAGTAAGTACCACAGCCAGGAGTCAACCCCACATGCTCCAGCTCTGCTTCCAGCCCCAATACCACATTCTACATCCTCTGCTCCATGTAAGCGGTACCATCATTGACATGTGACCTGGCCTCTGGGTACTGAGAAGGTGCCTCTTGTCTAACCTCATTGCCTGCACCCCTGCCCCTGTGGGCGTTCCTGCCTCAGTTCTTTGAAAACCTCTGCTCTAAAGAAGGCCGTCGGTATTGATGGCAACACCCCTTCTGTCTCAGCCACCCCAGCACTGTGTCCTCTGTGCCTTTCTTCTAAGGCCCTGAGGTAAGCCTCATCCCTGTACTGTTATACACATGCTTTTTTGGTAACCTGCTCTCTCCACACGCCCCACCTCAGTGCCAGCTGTTACAAGTTGTTTTATTTTATTTATTTGTATATTTTTAACATCTTTATTGGAGTATAATTGCTTTACAGTGGTGTGTTAGTTTCTGCTGTGTAACAACGTGAATCAGCTATATGTATACATATATCCCCATATCTCCTCCCTCTTGCAATCTCCCTCCCACCCTCCCTATGCCACCCCTCTAGGTGGTCACAAAGCACCGAGCTGATCTCCCTGTGCTATGCGGCTGCTTCCCACTAGCTATCTATTTTACATCTGGTAGTGTATATATGTCCCTGCCACTCTCTCACTTCGTTCTAGCTTACCCGTCCCCTCCCCATCTCCTCAAGTCCATTCTCTACATCTGCGTCTTTATTCCTGTCCTGCCCCTAGGTTCTTCAGAACCATTTTTGTTTTTGTTTTTTTAGATTCCATACATATGTGTTAGCATACGGTATTTGTTTTTCTCTTTCTGACTTACTTCACTCTGTATGACAGACTCTAGGTCCATCCACCTCACTACAAATAACTCAATTTCGTTTCTTTTTATGGCTAATATTCCATTGTATATTAGTGCCACATCTTCTTTATCTATTCATCTGTCAGTGGACACTTAGGTTGCTTCCATGTCTGGCTATTGTAAACAGTGCTTCAATGAATATTGTGGTACTTGACTCTTTTTGAATTATGGTTTTCTCAGGGTATATACCCAGTAGTGGGATTGCTGGGTCATATGGTAGTTCTATTTTTAGTTTTTTAAGGAACCTCCATACTGTTCTCCATAGTGGCTGTATCAATGTACATTCCCACCAACAGTGCAAGAGGGTTCCTTTTCTCCACACCCTCTCCAGCATTTACTGTTTGTAGATTTTTTGATGATGGCCATTCTGACTGGTGTGAGATGATATCTCATTGTAGTTTTGATTTGCATTTCTCTAATGATTAGTGATGGTGAGCATCCTTTCATGGGTTTGTTGGCAATCCGTATGTCTTCTTTGGAGAAGTGTCTGTTTAGGTCTTCTGCCCATCTTTGGGTTGGGTTGTTCATTTTTTGATATGGAGCTGCATGAGCTGCTTGTATATTTTGAGATTAATCCTTTGTCAGTTGCTTCATTGCAAATATTTTCTCCCATTCTGAGGATTGTCTTTTCGTCTTGTTTATGGTTGCCTTTGCTGTGCAAAAGCTTTTAAGTTTCATTAGGTCCCATTTGTTTACTTTTGTTGTTTTAAAAGCTTCCAAGTATCACACTTTTCACTCTTGTGTTCAGGCCGACCTGTGCCACATTGAGCTGAGTGCTGAAGACGAGAGATGCACATGACAGGATGTCTGACATCTCCAGAGACTTTGGACTAGAGGCCAGGTCCCCTGCCTTTCAGCGCGAGTCACCCCTCCTACCACCAAGTGGGGGCAAAACAGGCATTCAGTGAACATTCATTCATTTATTTAGCAAATATTTATTGAGCGCTTACTACGAGCCAGGCAGGCAGGATGAGAGGTGCCGATGATATGGCAGGAACCCAGACGTGCACAGAGTTCCCACCGCTCCAGGGGCGCTGGGCGAGCCTTGGCCTGGCCCGGCAGCTCTTCCGCCAGGGCTGAGTAAGGGAGCAGAGGGTTGAGGTGGGGGAACAGGAGAGTGGAGGCCGTGGAAAGGGGCAGCGAAGGAACCAAAGCCCGAGGCCAGAGGCTGGCTTGGCTTCTGGCCCAGCGACCCCTCCGTCTCCAAACCCAGACGTGACACACACGTGCCGCAGCCGCTTCGGTGACCCCCTACGCCACTGGGGCCGCCCAGCACAGCAAAGTCTAGGCGCATGCCGACCTCCCGGGGAAGGAGAGCTTAGCAAGACAACACCGTCTGGTGTGAAGGCGGCTGGACGGTGCGTGCGCGGCCAGAGAGGGTGGCGCACGATTGGAGGCTCTCTTAGAAGGACAGGGGAGAACTCCCCCGCTCGCCACCCAAACTCTGGAGCCTGGATTCCGATCCCAGGCCTGTTGCTTACCTGTTACGCGACCATGCGCAAGTCCCTGAAGCTTCCCAGGACTCAGTTACATCATCGGTTATATGGGTTTCCTATAACCTTAAGGTTGGTGCGAGGAATAAGGGAGAATGCGAGGAATAAGGGAGAATGCAAGGAAAGCTTCTTTAGCGTGATGTCCGGCACGGAGGAAACGCTCTCGGAGCGGAGGTGGTAATTACCCGCTGCTCACACCTGGCCGCGTGCCCCGGCCTTCTCAGGGCCCGGGCGCCCGCTACTCTCTTGCAAGGCACAGATGACTAGCCTATTAGGGCGCGCCCTGACTCGATAGATGTATTGGCTTGTTTGGGGCGGGGCTTGGAATGAGGCGAGGGGAAGAAGGAGGTGGTGGACAGCGAAGAAAGGGAAGACGCGAAGGGCAGGAGGCGAGCTAGGTGGGGCGGGGAAGGAGCCGGGCGTGTTCTGGGCCCGGGCGCAGCGCGCACCCCGAGCCCGCGGCGGCGGGGGCGGGGGCGGTGCGCGGCGGCCAATGGCGCGCGGCGCTGCGGCGGGGGCGGGGCAGGAACCCCCGGCCGCTGACAGCCAAACTCGCCAACTCCGCCCTCCCGCGGGATCCCGGAGCCCTAGCCTGCCCCCGGGCTGAGGCCGCCCGAGCCGCGCGGCGAGCGAACATGGCAGCAGAATGAGAAGGCTGGCCCCAGGTCGTGGCCGCCACCGCCGCCGCCGCGCTGCAGCTCCGTATCCACGCCCGGCGCCCTCAGAGCCTCCAGCTTAGCCGGCCTCCTGCTGGTCGCCAGTGCATTTCATTCGGAGCAGCGGGCGGGGAGGAAGGGGACCCCCGCAGCCCGGCTGGTCCGGTCTGTGGCAGTGTGTCGAGGCTCCTGCGTGCGACTCGCAGGCTGCGGAAACGACGCGGGGGAGAGCCGGTCCCGGCTGCGGCGGCACGGGCGCGGGGATGAGCCGGCCATGGAGCGACCTCGGCGGGGCGCACGCAGCCGGCCCGCGCTGTGGCGGGGACGCCGCCTGAGCCCGGGCTCCGCGGGGCTTCGGGGCCGCAGGCGCGCCGCGGGGGGTCCCTGCCGCCGCCTCCGGGAAGGACTGGAGCCCCGCGTGGCGGACACTGCAGCAGTCACCGTACTGAGGCGCCCGAGCCTGCTCCGCCTGCGGCTCCGTGCGCTCTGGGCACCCGGGCGCCTGGCCCGGTGCACGGCGGCTGGCGCACCGCGGCGAGCCGGCTGCGGGACTGGCTAGAGGGCTGTGCGTGCGCGTGTTCGACCGGAGATCCGAGCTGAAAGCAGAACCAGGCGGGCCGGAGCAGCCATGCTTCCCGGGGTGGGCGTGTTCGGCACCAGCCTCACGGCCCGTGTCATCATCCCGCTGCTGAAAGACGAGGGCTTCGCGGTGAAGGCGCTCTGGGGCCGCACGCAGGAGGAAGCGGAGGAGCTGGCCAAGGAGATGAGCGTCCCCTTCTACACCAGCCGCATTGACGAGGTGCTGCTGCATCAGGACGTGGACTTGGTGTGCATCAACCTGCCGCCGCCCCTCACCAGGCAGATCGCAGTCAAGACTTTGGGTGAGCGACCCCTCCCCCTCCGCCACCCCATCCCCAGCCTCGCTCCTTTCATCCCCTGCTTCTTTTCTCCTCTTGCCCTCTCTTCATCCCGGAAGCTTACATGGCATCTACGCCGACCCGGGCACCTGAGATCCCACATCCCACTCGGAGCTTTCTCCTTCCTTATCCCTGGCCTTCCCCACACCTACGCTTCCCTTCTCCCTTCTGGCACCACCCGGGCGCGCTTTCACACGCGCGTGGCGCCCAGGCTGCAGGAGGCGCGTGTGTTCCGGGGAAGTCGACCAGGCTGAGGAAATTCTTAAGATTGGGGACGGGCTGCTCTGAGGGAGACAAAACTAAGTCGCCGGCTGAGTGTGCAGTGCCCGAGTGTGTGCGTGCGTGCGTGCGCGCCTGCGAGAGGCGAGTGCGCGCCCAGGAACGCCGGAATAAAGGGCCCACACGTGTCTCGGGTTTTCCTGGGGGCAATCGACTGCCTGACAGTCAGCAGCTGTGGCGCCCTGCTAGGATAGTTTCTTTCTTCCTGCTGGGAGTTAGTTTAGTGGGAGATTATAGAGATGTGACAGTTAGCTGGAGTTATTTCCTCTTCGCTGAAAGCAAGGATGGTGAGAGTGGTTGGATGGGGGCGGGCGATCTATTAGGACGTCTTCGTGGCGGGTGGTGGTGGTCATAGGTTAGTAAAGGCTAATTTGATAAAAGCAGAGGGAGTTAACTTTCGAGTGCGGCAGCCCGAGAATTGTCTTCCGCGCAGATTTGGAGTAGGATCTTAGAATTTTAGGGGATGAGCGCAGTAGTTCCAGAGGCACGGATGCTTTGTGTGGGGAAAGGCCCCATGCTGCCAGTTTCACGTGGAAGCATGCAATAGTCCCACCTTAATTCCCCGCAGGAGTAGTTCCCAGGCCTGGTGACAGGCAGGTTGGGGGTGAGCTTACCAGCCTTCACCGTCGGGTTCCCCCACCTTACCCAGGCCGACTGGGCCATCTCAGGGCAGAGTATCAGAGTCCCTGCCGTGCCAAGAGGAAGAAGTGCATGTTTTTTTGTCCATCAGCAGTCCTCACACGAACCAGGAAGGCTGCTCACTCCTTAGGTCCCGAGAAAATGTTATTGCCCACCTTTGAAAGTTGGAATTTTTTGTTGGCCAGGAAAGAGACAAAGCTAAGAAGGCAAAAGAGTTAGAAGGCAAGAACTGGGAAGGAACAGAAACCAAGGGTAATTTATGCAATCTTGGAAAGAATGTTTTATTTTTAAAAACAGGCATGGATTTAGGGTAGGTGACATGTACATATATTTTAATTCTATCTTCCGAGAATTATGACCAGAATGTAGAACTCTTTCTCCCTAGAAAACCACTTTCATCAGGCCATTCCATTCTGTTGTTGACTCGGATGGGACATCTGAAGATTCCTAAGGAGACCGTCCAAGGCTGTCCGTTTTCATGTTAATTTTATTAAGCTTCTGACCTTTGTTGCCTGTTTTCTTTGGCCTTGAATGGAATGTCATTAGGCTCTGGCCAATATTTCTCTTCTGTTTGATCGAATATGTACGTTGGGTAGCTTACGTCTGTGCTCACAGTGGATCTGTGCATATTCAGTAAATGATCACCATCTTATAGCATAAATCTAGGAGGGCAATGCATGTAAGATGGGTCCGTCTCGAGCCCCGTCTCTGCTAGAGGGCTTACGACCTATCACATCAGAAAGACCTTGTTGTCACATCCCGCCCTCCCCCCCCATCCCCACCCCAGCACAGCCCTCCAGGTCAGACCCGCAGAGCAGCCCTAGAGCAAGTCTTCTGGAGGGTGGCAATTTGGGAAGCAGGGATGTTCCTGTTTTCTGACCATCTCTGGTACTTTAGCTATGAAAGCATTTGGGGGCTCTGGCTTTGGGAAGTGGCACAAATTATACATTACTGGATACTTCTTCTGTTCTTATTTTCAAAAACCCCTATGATTATTTTTTTTTCCTTGACAAGACTGAGGTGGGTTACCTTTTCAAAACCAAGGATCAGGCGTAAGAAATAGCCTTGGTTTAATCATCATGACTGAGGAATAGGGGTTTGTTCATATTTTCGTGCTAAGTCTTGGGCTTTTTACTTTTCTTTTAATTCCTGATTTCACAGGTGATCAGACTACCTGATTCTCAGGTAGTCTCTGCTTGTAGGAAACGCGGAGGCTTTGGGTTTACATGTGGCTGGACCGTAGGCTTGTTCCAGGGCTTCATCTTCAGTGGAAAATCCCCAGACATGGCTCTTCTTCCCATTGTACCTGCGAGTACCTGGTGGGGCGGTCATCTTGGTGTGCTGTGTGCTGTCACAGTTAGAGGTTCAACACATACGACACAGGAAGTGAGAAACCCCGAACAGTTATTGGGCCGGTCTGGCCGTTGGAGGTTTGTAGATATTAGTGGTTGCCTCATGTTGAAACAAGCCAACCTTGACTAGTCCTGGCCTTGTCGTCCTGTCCTCCTTTGAGTTGCTTGCCCGGCAGTGGTGAGAGATCTGTGGCCCTGGATCCATTACTGGTCATGGGCCTGTCGAGGTGAGGGGCTGTGGCCAGTATGGAGGCATAAAACTTGCAGTCAGTTGAATCACAACATCCTCCTTTGATTTCTAAAAATTTCCTTGAAATCCCTTCCTAAGCGAATTAGGCATTTCTCTGTTGGAGAGACTTTTCTGCAATGTATAATTTCTGCAGCATCCAGGGCCGCCTCTTGTTACGTACCTACTGTGTGCAGCGTGGTAAGTGCTCTATATGAAATGTTTCATTTCTTGACTAAAATAATCCTCGAAGGTAGCTGTTTGCCCCATCTTACAGATGAGGCTGGAGTTGAGTTGCTCAAGGACATGTGTCTCCCCCCAAGTCATTGCTTCCTCTCCCATCCCCTAAACTTGCTCCTTTTGCACTTACTTCTGTCAGAGAGTGGCAGCCCAGGTGAGATGGTTGGAGGGATCCTTTGTTGTGTGTCTACCCCACTCATGGAATCAGTTCCCAAATCTGGTTGATGCCAACCCCTCGTCCCTCTCGTATCTGTTCCCTCTTCTGCATCATTGCTTCCTCCGTAGAAGGCGCTAGGCCCTGACTGCATCTGAATTAGGCTGCAGTCTGCCCCTCGCCACCCTTGCCTCTGTCCACCTTCCACTCTGCTGCCAGAATTACTTTGAAGAACTGCAGACCTGATCACATTACTGCTCCCCCATTTCATCACTTCTAGGCAAAGCCCCAGCTTCTCGGCATGACAGGCAAGACCTGGCCCCTGACGAGCCTGCCCAGCCTCCTGTCCTGCTGGTGGTTCTGGAACCCCACGCGCTTCAGCTAAACCAAACTGCAGGTGTTTCCCGGAAAGGCCCTTGTTCCTTCATGTGTCCCTGCCTCTGTCAGGAATACCCTTCTGCCTCGTGTGTGTGGTGGATGCCTGTTCATCCAGCCTCAGCCCCAGTGGTATCTCCTCCCGGAATCCTTCCCCTTCCTCAATCCCGCCCCCACCCATACCCTTCTGTAGGCTCAGCACTGCGTGCCTCCACCTTTTCTTGCACTTACTTTAATGCATTTGCTTAAAAAGTAGCTTTTATTTAGTTATTATCAATAGGTTATGGATTCACGTGGTACAAGTTTCAAGTGCTCTAACACACTTGAAATAGTACACAGTGAAGAGGAAGTGTTCCCCAGCCCCATCCTTCAACTGGAGGCAATCACGGTTATAAGTTTTGTTGTCTCCTTTTGATGACTTTTCTAAGTATGGACTGGTGAATATGTGTGTCGAGAATTTGAAAAATATTTTTCACACAATTAGTAACATCTTATACTCACTGTTATATACTTTGCTTTCACCATGCAACAATATGATCTTGAAAATTTGTGTATATATACACATAGATGTATATTTAAAACTCAGAAGGTAAAAGT